AATCCCTTTCCCTGGAAGTTCTGCCTAATGCGCAGATTGGAAGAAGCGGTGATTCCTCATGATGAAGGGGCAAACACCTGTGAGAAGGAGAGCCCTTCATCAGGGTTCTCTCCCATGCTAGGAGGGGCCTGTCCATCTCCCCACACTGCTGAAGTAGGTGATGAGCTGGCCACCACAGGGGTGAGCTACAATGTATCTGCCCATTCTCAAAGCAAGTGCTGAGCTTGAGGATAGGAGTCCTCTACACAAGACATATTCACAACATACATGACAGGCTTGCAAGTGTTACATGTGCGTGGGTGTGTACAAGGGGACTTCAAAAAAGAGGCTTCCCTAGCCTTGGCAGCTCATAAGAGCGTTGGGTGATCACTGACATCATAAATAAGAGTGTCAATTGTTAAATAACAACAGGAGTCACTGTGCACTTGTTCCCCATTAGGACCTCTGTCCTTAATGTGTTGTACTATGAGAATTAACAGTAAAACTAGTCTTCAAACAGTACTTTATATACTTGTGTGTGTCTCTGGGTGCAAACTGTTGAAATCTTTACTTAGTATAGAGTTGATCTTCTGTAGATAAAGATAATTAAAAATGAATCTTAATGAAGAATGGGATAGAAGAGAGAGTAGGAGGTGAGATGGTTTGGGGGTGGGAGGGCGGGTATGGGGGAAGAATCACTATAATCCAAAAGTTGTACTTTTGAAATTTATATTTATTAAATAAAAACTTTCTATAAAAAAAACTTCATGGAAATGGAATTAAAAAGAAAGTCCATTTTGGGCAAAAAGTTTTGAAGTCCATACATATGAGCAGTCTTCTAAAAGAGTATGGCCAATGTGCATTATGAAAACCTATGCAGGGGCCACTGCTGTGGTGCAGTGGATTAAAGCCCCAGCCTGCAGTGCTGGCATCCCATATGGGCACCGGGTGGAGTCCTGGCTACAGCTCTCTGCTATGGCCTGGGAAAGCAGTAGAAGATGGCCTAAGTCCTTGGGCCCCTGCACCCATGTGGGAGAACTGGAAGAAGCTCCTGGCTACGGATCAGCTCAGCTTTGGCCGCTGCAGTCATTTGGGGAGTGAACCATCAGATGGAAGACCTCTCTCTCTCTCTCTCTCTCTCTCTCTCTCTGGCTCTACCTCTCTCTGTAACTCTTTCAAATAAATAAAATAATTCTTAAAAAATAAATAAATAAAAATAAAAACAAAAACCTATGCAAAGGAGCCAGCGCTGTGGCGTAGTGGGCTATGCCTCCACCTATGACGCTGGCATCCCATATGGGTGCTGGTTTATGTCCTGGCTGCTCCTCTTCCTATCCAGCTCTCTGCTGATGGCCTGGGAAGGTAGTAGAAGATGGCCCAAGTCCTCAGGCCCCCACACCCATATGGGAGACCCAGAAGAAGCTCCTGGCTTTGGATTAGCCCAACTCTGGCCATTGCAACTATCTGGGGAGTGAACCAGTAGATGGAAGACCTCTCTCTCTGTCTGTAACTCTGCCTCTCAAATAAATAAATCTGGAAGTAAGGGAGGGAGGGAGGGAAGGGGAAATCTATGCAGGGCTTCCAAACTTTTTGTGCCAAAACAAGCTTACTTTTAATTCCACTTTTTCCCTGAACTTTTTGAAGTGCTTCATACATATATACACACTGGTTTACATATCATTCACCTATATTAACTGCATTATATGATAATATGGGGTATACTGAAACAATTGATAAGCAATACTTATAATTATTGGTTATAATTAACACATTGATTATAATTAATGGAAATTATATACATTAAGAATTCTTGAAAATTCAGAGTAAATGGTAAACTCTACTGGAAGAAAAACCTGCAGGCAAAGGACATTAAAAGGAAATTTTACAAAGGAAGGTAGTAAAATAATTTGTGGAATCAATGCCATTTTCCACATCTCCAACTAGCAACATTCTTCAGAGTTGCAGTATGGGCACTTAGGAGAGCCTGTGAGTACCTTGATGCAGTGCAGGTGGGAGTGGAGCTGTGACTCTGTCCGGGGTGGGGGGTTTAAAGCTCCCAAAAATATGCCTACTCTTGGATCAAGCAGTTACACTTCCAGAAGTTTATCCTTAAAAAGTATTGACACATGTACTGAAAGACTGAGCTTTTATCATTGTTCATTATAAGAATTAAAAGAAACCTAAACAGCCAACAACAGGAGGCTGATTAAATACCTTATAAATAGTATGAAACAAGGCTAAGAAGATATTAAACAACAATTTCCAAACACAATTGCATTTCACTTTTAAAAATAGTGTGTATGCATATTAGCAGTGGAAGCATACATAAGAAATATTAGTATTTACCATTGGGTAATAACATTACAAGTGACTTTTTCTTCTTTTTTATTTTTAAAGATTCATTTATGTTTTTATTGGCAAGGCAGAGTGACAGAAAGGGAGAGACAAAAAAATCTTTAATCCACTGGTTCACTCCCCAAATGACCACAATAGCCAGGTCTGGGGTTGCCAAAGTTAGGAACTCTATCAGGTCTCTTACACGGGTGGCAGGGACCCAAGTTCTTGCATCACCTTCCACTGCCTTACCAGGTGCATTAGCAGGGATCTGGATCAGAAGTAGAACAGCTGGGGGCTAGCAGTGTTGTGCAGTGGGTTAAAACCCCAGGCCTGCAGCACCAGCATCCCATATGGATACAGGTTCCAGTCCCAGCTTCTCCACTTCCTCATCCTGTTCCCTGCTAATATGCCTGGGAAAGCAGCAGAAGACGGCCCAAGCGCTTGGGCCCCTGCACCCACATGGGAGACCCAGAGGAAGCTCCTGGCTTCAATGTGGTCCAGGCCTGGTAGTTGCAGCCATTTGGGGAGCGAACCATTGGATGAAAGGCCCCCCACCACCACCTCTCTCTGTAACTCTTTCAAACAAATAACTCTTTAAAAAAAAATACAAAGTGGAGCAGCAGGATTCAAACTGGCACTCCCATATTGGATGCCTGCCTCTCAAGCTGAGGTGTAACCCACTGTGCCACAAGGCCAGCCCGGACTTTCTTCTTGATTGACTATATTTTTGACAATGCTTATGTTGGCCTGACATTTCTCATATGTCTCTTATAGCACTTACTAGTTGCTACTCTGTGAAATGGCTATGTGTGAGCATATCACATGGCCCCAGGAATACAAACTCCTGGAACACAAGTTCCAAGTCTGATTTATCTACAGAAATTCCCCTTTATATGCGCTTAGCGCCTTGAAGGATTGCAACAATCACCATTCACTGAACGCTTTCCACGTGGCAGGCACTGTGCTGAACCATATCTTTAAATACAGTAAAATGCAATGAACAGTTTGCAAGGGAAGGAGGGAGGGGAAGACCAGACGAGAAGAACGACTGAGCAGCAATCCAGCAACCGGAGCTGGGCTCCCAGCTGGCAGCTCTCACACCTCAAAGTGACCAGCTCCATTTGGGGTCCCTCTGACCACCAGACTACATGGACCTGCTCCATTTCTTCTAACAGGGAGGACAGGGATTAAGAGGAGAAAGATCACACCATGATCCTGGATTTTAGGAAGTCATACTTTTTGGAGGATAAGATCTTGTGGGAAAAAATTTAAAAATCACTTTTTTGAAATTTTTCTTATCAGAGTCAAGAAAAAAATCAATGTTAATATGACAATGACCTTCGAAGCAAACACTTTTGACCAGAGAAACACTCCTCGGCACCCTCCCCCATCACTCTGGAACTTGTCATATAGCGAGTTGTACCAGTAGGTACCCAGGTAAGGTGTGAGCTTTGGTCAACGACCCCAGGACCATGGGCAGCACAGAGAAATTCAAGTGGGTGGACAGTGGAGGCAGCGGCACCTTTAAGCCGACATATGAGAGACAAAAAGGGCTGCTCACAGCCGAGCTCAGGAGCAACATTCCCAGCTGCGGGCTCAGCCTGGGCCAGGGTGTTGCCGGATGGTGCTCGGCATGATCAGTTCACACCCCAGAAAACTTGGGCCACTTCCCTAGCAGCAAGTGTGGCTCAGAGATGCATTCCTGGTCCCAGGTTCCTCCTTGCCACTAGGGGTTTTACTGTTACAACTCCAAAAAGCAAAAACAACGCATGCCCTCGTTTTCAGAGGCTTTGCGATTAAGTGCAGGTTTAAAGCCACAGTAATTCAAGCATTCCCCCAACATAGGAACATCAGAGTAGATCCTAAGCACCTGCCCCTGCCCTGCTGTTCTCCAGGCTGACATTCCAGGAAGGAAGCCTCCTAGGCACCACCTGGATCCCACAGCTCTGCCCACGTCCCAGGAAGATTAGGCTGCCATCCCCTGATGGGTTGTTTCAGAACAAGCACAGCTCGGGACCAGTTGCAAAAGTTTCAAGCACCAGCTCCTCCAACGCTAGCCTCCTGTGGGTCAGCCCTGCAGTCCTGCTCCCTGGACACGGGCCAGCATCAGCCCAGTGGGTGAAGAGTTTGGAGAGAAAAAAGAATAGGAGTCACAGTGAGTGCCGCAGGCAGGACAGGGAAACCCCAGCGGGCAGCTCAGGAACACCAGAGCTTTCTCTCAAATAGTTCAGGAAAGGGATGTATTATCCCTGCCTGCATCCTGCCCCCTCCCCATTCATCTTTTCTGACCCCCCCCCCCCACCTCCAACCCCTGCACGTCTTTTCTCCTTTCAACTTTGATAGAAGCTATGGTACAATCTCTCCCTCTCTCGCCCTAAACCTCCCTGTCTCTATCCCTCTCCCTCTCCTGGTCTCTGCGCCTGTGTCATTTCCATCACTGTCCCCACGCCTCTGTCACCCTGTCTCCATCTCTGTCCCTCCTCTCTCGGCTAATTATTCACAACCTGCAGTTCAAGGAGGTGTGACCCTAAAAACCCGCGGGGGGCGGGGGGAGCGGTCAGAGCCGCCAGGGTGCGGCTGGGAGAGCACCTGGGGGCCCAGTCCGACACCCCCACACACACCCACCGCCGCCAGCTCCCTCGCCACCACCAAGCCAGGGTCGGGCAGGGGAGGAAAGTTCTCACCGATGGTGAAGCTGTAGCCATCAATGCTGAAAGTGGCACTCCGGCATTTTTTGAAGCCCTCCTTCCTGTTGCTGGCGTCGGTCATGGCTCCGCCGGTGGCGTCCAGAGGGGTCCCGGGAGGCCGACCGCACAGTCCGGCACCCGCGCCCCACGCAGCGGGTGTCCCTTCCCCGGCCGCTCCACGCGCTGTCCCCGAAGAGCCGCTCGTGGTGAGCCGAATGCTCTAGGTGCTGGCCGGGAGAGCCCCAGCGCCTGCTACTGCGGTGGGCGCGCGCTGGGGTCAGTGAGCCATCGCCCCTGCCCGCTCCCTAGCAATGCACGCTGCGGAGATGAGGAGCGTCTGTCAACCCCCCGGGGCGCACGCTGGTCCTGACCCACGGTGCCCGGGTCCCTGGCGCTCCCTCTCCGCTCTCTGGGAGCCGCCGGAGCCTGGGCGCCACGCGCTCCTCTGTTTGCTCCTTGGCTGCGCCTTCCCCTCTCTGGGGGCTGCCGGGGCTTGGGGACCCAGGGGAATGGCTGAGATTGGGCGTCACGCTTCTTCTAAATGTGTTTTCTCTGGCAGGCTGGGGAGCTCCCCAAAAGCACATCAACAGATGGAAAAGCAAACATCTCCGTGGTCAGATGTTGCCAAAGTTTACTCCAAACAAGGAAGCTGGAAAGTCGCCACGCCCACTTCCTCCCAGCCGCCGTCCCCAGACCAGCGGGGCTGATAGCGTTGTCCACAGTCCCTGCTGGCGCGGGATGGTGGGCGCACGCTCCGCACCCCGGCTCAGCGTGTACAATTAGAACTCGCCCTACCGATCCAGTTCACACAGTTTGCCCCCCCACACACACACACGCCCCTTTTCCAAGCTGGATTTGCCAAGCGGGGTGGACTCCTGGACTTTGCAGAGGTGGAAGGGATCACACCAATCCTACACTAAGGCACTTGCTACAGAAGAGTAAACTGAGGCGAGAGGGCTTGAGGATGCAGACTTAGGATGCGGAAGCTTCACCTTAAGATGCCCAAGTCTGGTCTTCCCAGCGCCTTAAAGGGCCAAGTTGGGCAAAGCTTAGCCATTCCCTTCCACCCCATGCAGTTATTGTGGGTTTAAGGTGGCAGGTGCCAGCAGCTTGGGAGTGAAAAGCGAAAAAAGATCCGAGCCAGTCCTACTGAGGATTCCACCGCGTGACAAGTGGAGTGATGTGCTATATTCAGCTACTGCGGGACTACACTTAATTTAACCTCATTTTTGTGATGGAATTTGACACAATTAGCAAACATTTGCCAGTAATGAGTCGACCAGGTATATTCCTAACTGGCTCCAATTAAGAGGGCAGTGGGCCCACTCATCTTCAGCATTGAATAAAAATTAGAAACCGGCCAGCGCTGTGGCATAATAGGTTAAGCCTCTGCCCGTGGTGCTAGCATCCCATGTGGGCAACGATTCCTGTCCTGGCTGCTCCTCTTCCAATCCAGCTCTCTGCTGTGGCCCAGGAAGGCAGTGGAGGGTGGCCCAGGTGCTTGGGCCCCTGCATCCACGTGGGAGACCCAGAGGAGGCTCCTATCTCCTGGCTGCGGAATGGCCCAGTTCCAGCCCTTGTAACCATTTGCAAAATGAACCATTGGATTGAAGACCTCTCTCTCCCTCTGTTAACTTTGCCTCTCAAGTAAAAAGATAAACCTTGGAAAGAAAAAAACCTATAAATCCTCTCCAACAATGGGGGAAAAAAGGCACAGAAGCGCAGTATCCTATATACAATTGCAGGAGCCCATAAAACCCTCAAGCCCCCTAGAATCCAGGCTAGTGCACATTTCAGAAATTCAGTCTTTTTCCATTCACCATATTACCATATTCTTTCAAGGTAGTGGTTTAAGAAAAGAAAAAGATGTACTTATTTATCTGAAAGGCAGAGAAGCAAAGAGATCTTCCATCCATTGGCTAATTCCCCAAATGGCTACAACAGCCAGGGCTGGACCAGGCTGAAACCAGGAGTGTGGAACTCCATCCCAGGCTCCCAAAAGGTGACAAGGGCCCAAGTACTTAAGTCATCAACCGCTGCCTTCCCAGGTGCATTAGCAGGAAACTGGATCAGTGGCCAGGACTCAAACCTGCGTTGCGATATGGAATGTGGGCCTCCCAACCTGCTGTATCACAGTGACAGTCCCTGGTTTTGTTATGTTTTGTTTTAACAGCACGAGTATAGTAGCATTACAGTTATAAATTCTCTCAGGGAAAACCTGCCATCACATTGATGCTTTGATTAGGTAGGGGGCAAGATTAATCAATCATAAAGGCAACAGATGCCATGAACCTCACGTCACACAGAACGGCACATCTCAGGATGGAAGCCAGGGTGCTTCCGGCAGTGCTGTCTTTGAGACTGACACTCAAGTCTGGAACTGGCTACAACACAGGTCTGAAGTCTGGCTCCCCCACGTCCTGGCTACGTGACCTCAGGTAAGGTGCTGGACTGGTCTGTCTCAACTTCCTTGTCTTGAATGACGATTAAGTGCAATCAACCTAGGCACACAGCAGGCACTCACCAGCTAATTCCCAAGTTCCATTGGGTATACACCAAGAAAAATTCTCCTCTCTAACCGTAATAGTTTTAGTTATTGTTTCCACCATTAATTTTATAAACAGAATATATATGTGTGTATATATGTGTGTGTGTGTTAATATGCAGCCACAGAAAGTTTCTCGGATTCCCCACCTGCCTCAGTTTCCCCCCACATTCCCAACCCTTTCACTGAAGCACCTGCCTTCTTTGGTGCCAATGCGAGTCCCCACAAGGGGAGGCTAAAAGCCAGGAGTTAGTCTCCTGTAGTAAATGATCAAGGATACAAGTCTGACATGATGGAAATTTTTTCAGAACAGAAAAGCTTCTAGAAATATAATTTATAAAAATAATAACAATGTGCTCATTTATCTATGCCCTAACGTCTGGTAAAAATAACTTGCCTGAACAATTAGAACTGTTTTTAAACCGCTTCTCCCCAGAATCATTATCTCGCTCCCTGGTTTTAGAGATTCCACACCTACAGAACCACTAAATGCATCGCTGCAAGCCTTCCAACAGCCTTCACGGTGCAGGGCTCTTACAGCAAACCAAGTGAAGTCGAGCGCGCATGTTACGTAAGCCGAGAAAGGGTGAGTTCAAGCCTGAGACCCAGAGCAGCGCTGCTCATGCTTGCTCTTTCCAAAACTCTCCTCCAGGATGCCTGTGAAGTCAGAAAACTGACCCATGACACCCAAGCAGATGTGCCAGTAGTCTGTTCTCAGAGCTGGAGCGGGCAGAGCTGGAGCGGGAGTCATCAAATTAATGTCTGAGCCCAAACCCAGCCTGTCACCTGTTTCTGAAGTCTATGAGCCAAGGATGGCTTTTAGATTTTTAATGACTGAGAAAAAGTCAAACGAATAATATTTTCGTGACACATCAAAACTATATGAGATTCATACTTGAGACCATGTGGTCTGCAAAGCCAAAAGTGGTTACCAACTAGCCCTTTACAGAAAAAGTCTGCAGGGGCCAGTGGTGTGGAGCAGCAGATTAAGCCACTGCTTGTATCCTGTATCGGAGTCAGTTCAAGTCCTGGCTCCTCAGCCTCAAACCCAGCTAACTGAAAGGACATAGAGTAGACTAATGAGCACCTTCACTGGGGACAGAAATTGTCAGAGGTCAAGAGAAAGTTCTAGTACCTTCCAGGCCCAGTTCCAACAGGTGTATGAAAATCAACTCCCCCCAAATTCCAGTAAAATGCCTTACTATGCCCATGCTTAGTCTCTTAATGTGTTTAAGAGACGAGAATGAGAGAGTTCCTACTGCTTGCAGCCAAGAGTCCTAATTACTCCGCAAAACAAACTCTCTTCAAGAAAGAAAGTACAGGAAGAAGAAATAGAGAAAGGAAGCAATTAAGTAACAATTATTGAGTCCCAACTCTGTGCTAGGTGTTGTACAACCAAGAAGCAGCCGTTGTCTTTGAACAGTTAACAAGAAGATGGAGTCCCAGAGCAGTCCCTGGAACCAAGTTCAGAAAGAGAGAGCAACTGCAGAAGTCTGGGTCCATGAGGCAGTTCCTGCTCCACTGTTTCATTTTACGTCTACCTTATTCCTTCCCAGAGCCTAGTCTGCGTTTCTCTTATAAATAAGGCCCGGGAATGGCAGAGATAATGAAAACCCACAGGAAGGGTAAAAAGCAAAGTGACTACACACTTGAGAGGCTGAGAGAGACGCCAGAAGGTCCCTGGCAGACTTTCATAGGGATTACAGAAAGCTGCACCATAAGCAGCTTTTCACAGTGACAGAGTTGGCCTCCTATCAATTTGTTGAAATTAATTTGATTTACTTGAAAGGCAGAGCAAGAGAGACATCTTCTATCTACTGGTTCACTCTTCAAATGGTCACACCTGCTGGGCCTGCGGCAGAAGCCTGGAATTCCATAAACCCCTCCCATGTGGGTGGCAGGGACCCAAGCACTTGCTGTCCAAGGCACATTAGCAGGGAGCTGGATAGGAAGTGGAACAGCCAGGACTCAAACTTCTGCTCCAATATGAGATGCCGGAGTCATGGTGGCACTGGCTTAAACCACTGCACCATAACACTGGCCCATCATGCCTGTTCTTCAGGCTACCTCAAAAAGTCAATGGAGGGGCCAGTGCTGTGACTTAGTGGGTAAAGCCACCATCTGCAGTGCCAGCATCCTATACGGGCGCCACTCTAGTCCCGACTGCTCCTCTTATGATCCAACTCTTTGCTGTGGCTTGGGAAAGCAGCGGAGGATGGCCCAAGTGCTTGGGCCCCTGCACCTGTGCGAGAGGCCTGGCAGAAGCTCCTTGTTCCCGGCTCCTGGCTTTGAATCTACCCAGCTCCAGCTGTTTCGGCCATCTGGGAAGTAAATCAGCAGATAGAAAACACCTCTGTGTGTGTGTGTGTGTGTGTGTGTATGTCTGCCTCTCTGTAACCCTGCTTTTCGAGTAAATAAATAAATATTTTAAAAAGTCAATGGTAAACCAGAATTCAAATATAAGTTTATTTTGGTATAAAAAAAGTTTTAAATCATGCATAGTTTTCTCTTAACATGCATTTTCCATGAACTTATTGAAGATACTTCCTGTGTATGCATGTCAACTTTTCCTGCACCAAAATAAATTTATCCTTTACTTGCATTTTCCCAAGTCCCCTCATGTGACTAGTGCACCTGTGCACAGGACCATGCTCAGTGCCTGCCTTCAGGATCTAAGAAAATAGATGAGGGCCTCAACGTTCAATGCTCTCCCAAGAACATTGTGCAACAAATCCAATTTTCTTTTTGTGCTAATTTGGGGTGAATTTTCCAATAGGTTTTGAAGTTAGATTTTTAGAACTGGAAATATGCTACAGTGGGTAGGAAGGGCAAAGCAAAATGACTTTTTCATCTCCTTTTCATGATCCAGAATAGCAAGCCTAGAATATTCTTTTTATTTATTTTTGACAGGCAGAGTGGACAGTGAGAGAGATAGAGAGAAAGGTCTTCCTTTTCCATTTGTTCACCCTCCAATGGCCGCTTCGGCCAGCGCACTGCGCTGATCTGAAGCCAGGAGCCAGGTGCTTATCCTAGTCTCCCATGGGGTACAGAGCCCAAGCACTTGGGCATCCTCCACTGCACTCCCGGG